TTGGCCTCGTCCAGTCAGATGAAGATCATCAAAGCAACAAAAACCCCTGCAAATTTCCAGGAAAAGAAAATTCTGCCTCAACCCTGTAACACTGAAATCCTGCTTGAGGTTTTAGTTTGCCGGCCTGCCCATATGGGTTTCAGACCTGCCATAATTGTATGAGCCAACGCCTTAAAATAAATCTTTTTCCTTAACAAAATCTATCTTAGATAGATAGATGGATTGATAAATAGATGATATGTATGTATGTATGTATGTCATCTATCTATCTGTCTGTCTGTCTATCTATCCTCCTACTTATCTATCGATCATCCATCCATCCATCCATCCATCCATCCATCCGTCCATCCATCATCTTTCTCTCTCTCAACCCTGTTAGTTCTGTTTCTCTGGAGAATCCCGACTAATAAAACTCATTAAAGGCTTTTTTTTTTTCTTTTTTAAAATTGTCTATCTCTAACCAAAACCAAAACCAAACGAAACACTTTTCCTTTTCCAAAAAGAAGTTATGCCATTTTACCTTAAAAAAATTAATTTCCTTATTCATTTGTGTGATGTTTAGATTTAGTTCTGTACATTAAATTCATCAGTGGGGCCGGGAAGCCACTCGCGTTTCGATAGATTTTCCTGCTACCTCTGTAACCTCACCATTTCGTAACATCAACCTGAAAACATAGTACATCTGACTCATCTCTCAGGGCCCAGGGATAATTATCGGAAGCTTATACCATTCCTGATAAAGTGAGAAAAAGCACACACGCAACACTGTAGTGTGCAAGGTGTGAGAGACAGCAGGATTCACGAGTGTCCCACAGGTGTGAGAACTGTCACAGGTGTCTGATATCTGAGGAGTCAGGATAGGAAGAGCGAGGGCCCTCGCTTTTGATGTTACTCCAGCAAGATTTAAGGTAGTTATAAGTATGTAAAGACTGCGCTGTGGCTAAAACAAAACAAAACAAAAAACAAACAAACGAAACCCCCAGCAATCACAATACGTATCATTATCGATCTTTTCCTTTCCCGAGATTTTTTTAAATAGTCATTATTTTTCAAAATCTCTAAATAAATCGCTTGGTCTCGAGACGACTCCATGAAGCCAAGTCATGAATTCTTGAAAAGAAGAGACTGTATGGAAACGCGTTCAGAAAGAACTCTGTCGGTTAGCAAGAAGCGATGTCACCGTGGTGCCTGACAGCCCATTTCTTAAGCTGTTCTCTAGTCTCAGTTACAATACGATGGAAACCACACCCACACGATGCCTAACCTCCTCGTTTACCGTTTTTGAACACACTACTCTTTTCCAGCAGCGTTTTCCGCCCAATCAGGCTAATTTTGAAGAGTACGTTTGAATGTGAGAACAGGCATTTTAATCTGGAAGCATTCATTAGAAGCCTGCGTTGCTTCAGCAGCGCTCAGGGCAAGCGCTGCCTACACCGCTCCTGCCCCTCTTGAGGTTCTATTTGAGACAGAACGGAGCGCTTATTGAAGGTACAAATCCAGTAAACTACCACTTCTATGGTGTCTCTGCGGCTCAGCTTTGTACGTGACACTGAGGGGCTCACAAATGAAGAAACCAGTTGGTGGCCATTCATCCAGCATCACCATAAATACCAGGTTGGTTCTTTTTGTCCATTTATCGCTCATCAATCAGTTGCAGGGACTTTGTTTTGAGACACTTGTTGGACCGAGCCGGTTGGATTGGTATCAGAGATCCGGTTTAATTTCCTAAAAATCATAGCATCGGGGCAGCCAAGTGTGATTGCTGATAATGAATTTGAGTATTTACTTTTCCTACATCTAAACAAAAGAAAAGCCCAACCCAAACGTCCCCATTCCCGACAGTCTAACAATAAGTAAGTTAGCATGTGACACCTATGACTTCGACTTGAAAAATTTATGGCGCTTCTATTTACTCTTGTCCATTTTCAGAGTGCATGCGACTTCTTGAAAACTCATTTAAGGGCATTGCAATGTGGTAAAACATGGGTATGTCTCATGACAGAAATGTGAGATTTGCTCACATACAAAATCAAAACGGATCATAAAACAGCCACTGAAACCTTTGGCCAATTGTCTGTAAAAGGAGACCCCCAATGACCTATAGCAGGAATATAGATGCAAAGTTGTGCTTTGCCTCATGCCCTGGGGAGGATTTTGGCTCTAAGATTTTGTCTCCTTGCTGCCAAATGCGAAAGCCAAGTGCATTGCTAAAGCTTTAGACACATTTTCATCAATAAAATTTCTTATAAAACAGATCCTGCAAACGCTGAACTTATCTGCCAAATAGCCAATTAATTATTTTACATCCTGGTTGAACAATGAAATAATTTATGATGGGTAAAGCTTTTACCATCACAAATTAGTGTTCTGGAAACCACAAGGCCGAGCTTTCGATTAGCAAGAGGCATCACAATTAGGGATGAAAAGAAGCAATGTTGTGGGTTGGAAATTCTCCTCACAGAGAAATAAAACTCTTGAGGAACAATGACCCAATTAATTTGAGAGAGTTGGGTTTTTGGAAAAACAGATCCTTCTTAAAGGGAAAAGTTCAAACACTGCTCAGATGCCTAGATGCCTCAGACCTTCCCCGCCTGGAGCGCCCTTTCTTTTCGTAAATTGTAGCTATCGAATTTGGAGCATACTTGCCCATCCGGCATTAGTGTGTGTTAATCTCAGATCGGACACCGTCTGTGCGTTCACTCTCTCACCGACAGTCACCATTTCCTGCCTTGGGTCAGTGGGGAATGGTGCCTCCAATTCTTTGAATTTTCCAGAAAAGAGAAAAATCTGGGCTGAAATAGCACTCGTGCAATTGATCTGACTTCTCAAGTTCAGGCCAGGTCCGGCAAAGAAGGAGAGGTCTTCTAGGAGGGCGTGTTCTGGGTTCCAGATGGCTGACTTGGATCTTAACGCAAGCCATTGGCGGAGGATGATGTCAAACTGAACGGGCCATGTGATTAAGTGCCATACTTGTTTACCCAACCGGGGTGAAATCAACACCTGCAGGGAGAGGTAAGAAGGAGGCGGTTGGGACACGGAGCAAGACACCGTCTCTCAGGTGACAGTAGACAGAGGGATGCTGGAGGACTCTTCATTCATGGATGAGATTCTTGAACGTTCTGACATCCTCAGATGTTTAAGCAGAAAGAGGAGGGGACAAAATGCAAAATCTTGGATCTATTTCAAATGATATAATTGGGCGAAGCTTGAAATTGGAGAAGGTCAACCTGTCTTCTTGAGAGTCTCATGTCCCCAATGTCATCGGTGGGTGTGTTTACTTCCCTAACTCCAATGACTTCCGGAAAGTACACTCGCCCCCTGCGAAAACGCCCCCTCTCAGCTGACTGCGCTGGAACAGAAATCCCCTGAGCTGAGGATTTCGATCCTGGAGTCACAGGGGCGGCTCCTGTCGGAGTTCCTGGAAGCCACACGTTTACATCAGAGAAAAAAATCTGGCTCGGCCTTTTCCTCTTGACGCGGTCCAGGATGAAATCCCATCCTTTCGGAAACTTGTAAGTAAAAAATGTTGGCAGGTCTCGGTGTGTGTGTTCAACACTGTACCTTCTCCCGTCCCATGCGAATGAAGGTTCAGCTCTGGTCTCGGGCATGCGTTTCTCTCTCTGTGTCGTTCGCCAAGTCAGAATCAGCCACGCTACTTCTTTGTAATCAGCCATGACAAAGACTCCCCAGAAAAAACTCTGGTACGGTTTTCTCTTAAGCACAAACCCATCTCCTGTGATAACCCGCTTTGAGATGGTCTGGGATACATGAGAAATTCACATTTGCAAATCAGATGAATTAGGTGGAATTTCACTTTCTTTCTTCAAGAGTGTTTATTTTATTAGTAGAGTAACAATTGGTTCACTTAATAATATACTCCTTTAATACTTAATTACCTCTTGATTTCTCTGCATCTGTTTTCCAGAAAAATGTTCGGAAACGCATCTCTGATGAACCGATTGGTAGTAAGTATTCTTTATGGAGTCAGCCATAAAGTCTTTGAAGGAAGTTCTTCCTAAAAATGGAATTGAAATTCAAATGTCTGAAAGACAAACCAAACCGAACGAGGTCGTCTACGTTATAAGGAGATCGTGTTCCCAGAGAAATAAAAATGCAAGGTCTCTGACTTATGCACGCGTTGACTTCCCTAGTCCCAAGGCTTCTTGGGGTCAATGAGACCCTTCTCCAGTGGGAAGAGACTTCTGCTCGTAGGCGCCAATTTTCCCCCAGGCCTGGGAAGTCATCCAAGCGCTGACTGCAAGTCCTCACCTTAACTGCAGAAGTCAGGACTCAAAGTTGAGCAGAGTTTGACCTACACACTCCTCCCACTTGGATAGGCTGGGGCTTCTCGCCACCATTCCCAGTGACGTTTCAGATGACTGTTCAGGGAGCTCCCTTGTTATAGAGGGGGGACGAGAGGACAGGGACTGAGAGCTCCACTGATGTGATGAGCCCCCACCTTACGAGTTCTGCCAACCCAGCTTCGCTAAACTCGCCATTTCCTCTTCCGCAAACATACACGTTGCCTTTGGCATTCTGTAAGTAGAGGTTAAAAAACGATACACTACTAATTATAAAATATCTTGGTTCCCTAAGGGATCACAGCCATCTCTTCCTGAAGTATGATGAAAGAGAAGTTTGAGGCAAGTATCCCACAGGGCCAGAAAGAAGGGTCGACTTTCAGCCCCGATTTTGTTATTGGCTTTGGTGGCTCAGGGCAAGTCTTTCCATTCCTGTGAGTCTTGTTTCCTCGTCGTTACTCCGGTCATTCCTACCTCGGTGGATTATTAAGAGATGATGTGTGGGAAAGCACCTAGTGTAATTCCTGGCACACGGTACTGGCTAAAAATAAATACTGAGTCTGACAAACTTGAATGACCAAAGGGCATTTTAGAATGGGTTGTTTTGTTCTGTTCGACATGCTGCATCGACTTACAGATATTCAGCTCTGTTCCATATTTTGGGGTGTGTGTGTGTGTGTGTGTGTGTGTGTGTGTGTGTGTGTATGTTGGGGAGGGATGAAGGAAAAGAGGACAAAAATCCAAGGCCTCCTGATGGACTTTTCCCGCTTCTTGGACATTTAGTGAATTTCCTGTAAGTAGCATGTCTTTATTTTTTATCTCGTAGTGTAATTTTGGATCGGAAAGGCTCCGAGAGGTGAGGGATGGATCTTTTGTTTCGCAAAAGCCATTTTCCAGGTCAGCCTAAAAAGATGCACACCTCCGACAGACAGCCACAGCTGGCACGTTTCTGAGAGAAATGCCGAGAAATGCTGGATGGTCAGGCGTGGCAGAGAGCTACCCCACCAAGTTCCTCAGACCCTGGGCATCGAATGAAAAAGACCCCGAAATTTCCGATGAGAGAAGCAGAAGATAACTGGGGTGAGTGTGAACTACGGTGTGGGTTCTCCAGAGAGGACACAGGGCAAGTGAGAGGTGGCTCTGTGGGCGGGGGGCATGGGAGGAATCACTCAAGACAAAAAGTATGTGAGAGCTGCATTCGGGCGTTGGGAATGAGGGTGTCAGTAATGACCGAGAGAGGGTACCTTTGGCAGCAGGACCCCCAGAGCTGTGACCGGGTCTCACAGACGAGACCTGTGCTATACGAAACGTGGACATCTAAGAAGGTAGAAGCCATTAGGAGGATCGGGCCCCTCCTCACCTGTCATCATGCCCTGCTTGAAGAGAGGACAATTTATTCCAGAAGAATATCAGCTCTCTGAGTTCCCAGCCAGTCTCCTGGAGTAAGGAGCTGGGGGAGACGGTGTGCTTTGTACAGGATCGCAGGGAAAGGTGACAGGACTAATCTGAATCGCTTCCATTTTAAATCAATCTGGCTCAGTCACATTGGAAAAAAATGGGGCGTTCAGAATCTATTTGGAGCTTCAGTAACAATCGCCATTAATCGGTATCTTATTGTGATAAATCTGTGCCTTTATGCTGAGAAGTTTCATAAGGTCAAGCCACATAAAGACACCTACAACGATGAAATCAAGAGCTTGTAATGAAAAGGCATATTTTGACTCGATATCTTTCTTTGGTTTTCAAAATAGTATGACCATTATCTCCTTCATATGGCTTTTTACATACCCTCTTTCTTTCTGAGATTCAAATTATGCTTTTTAGATCCATTTACTGTGTTCCATAGGTTTCTGATTTTGTTTCTGTATTTTCTATTCTTTTTGGTTTCTGCTTTTACCTGAATTTTTTATTTTCCACTGATCTATCTTCCAGTCACTTATCCTCTCTTCCGCTGTGTTAGATCTGCTTCTAAACCTCACATCCAGGTCTTAATTTCAATTACTGCCATTTTTGATGCTAGCATTTGCATTTGATTCTTTTATTTATTTGTTTTTTAACATCTAGATTCCAGTTCTCGGGTGAAATTTTCAATCTTACCTAAGTCTGATAACTCCAAAAATTAGGTCACATGAATGTCTGTTTTTATTTTATGCTTTAACCTTTATACTGTTTCCATATGCCTGTTACTTTTGTTCTATTGCGGATGGGTTGAATATGGTAGATCACCTTAATCCAATCAGAGAGTGAGCTGATTTGTGGCTGGGCTTCAGTTTTTATAAAGTTCTAGATGTTGTTTATCCCTGCTTCTAGGGTACAGCCCTCTAGGGGTCCCCACTGAAAGCCCGGGGTGTTTGCTGAGGCCACTCTTGGTAAAACCAAGGGTACAGTATTTGTCTCGTTTTTACCATGTGACTCTAGAAAACTCTGCTTTTATCGTGTAGTTGTTTGTTTAATCACTTTCTCTAGAGCCTAGAGCAGCATAAGAATTCAACCAATGTCTTGAGGGGAAAAACCATCTGTGTCTCCCTTCTTGGTAGAGCTTGGCCTCCAGATTCTTGGCTGCCTTGGTCGACCCAAACTCTAATATTTGTCGCTCTTGCTCCATGATATTGCTAAAGACTCCTGGCTCCTAACAGCAGCCATTCGTCAAAATTCTCAGCCTCTTGTTTTTTACTGAGAATCAGCAAATGCTCCATGGGGGAAACACCTTAAAGAATGTCCACTGATCGCTCTGAGATGCCCTTAACGCCCCAGATCTTGCCTTTGCAACTCACCAATGACCTCGAGCCAAAAGCCTCTCCTCCTGGGGATTCTGCTGCAAATACTTAATTATAATTGAAGGTCAAAGTCAGGCTTGCGACGCTGTCAAATTACATGTGCGTAATGTTTACAAATTTGAAATCCAGTATTTTTCTTCTTCCTCTTTCTCTTCACTACTGGGTTTCCCTTGTACCATTAATTGGCATAACATGGACATACAAAGAACAAGCTACAAAGTTGGCAATTTCAGCTCAGCCCTTGTTTAAATAGACCAGGGTCTGGCCAGAGCTTTTGTCTAGTTAGTCTAACTCCACAGCCACACCCCATGCTCTGATAGCCCAGAAATGCAGGCCACGGACCCCACACCGAGGCTCCTAACATGACTGCTCAGTCTCCTTCCTCTGCTTTGTCTGCGGCCTGCTTAGCTCTGAGTCCTGCTCTGTGTCCCATCACCAGCCAAACTGTCACTCTTAGGACACTAGCTTAGTGTCCTAATGTTGTGTCCAGAATAACCAGACCCAACTTGAGTGCTCTTAACCAGGAGACAGTTTATTAGCCGGCGGTTGTCCTTGCAAAGGAGCAGCCTCGAAATGCCAAGATACAAGGTTTTTAAGCCCCAAATCCCATTCCTCATTCTGTCTTAAACACAAAGGTCCATCTTTCTCCAATTCATTACCTGTCAACCCACTGGTCAGGTGTGTAAGCGGGAAGTACAGAAGCAGAAAGCTTGTTGTTAGAATGTTATGTTCCCATGGGTGATCGCCTATGTTCCCATGGGCAATAGCCAGTGTTCCCATGGGCGATGGCCAAACAGTAATTTTCAGCTTATATACAATTGATTATTTTTCATGCCACGCAAGCAAGCAGGGTTACACAGGCTAAAACTGGCAGTTAGCATATGAGCTCATTGTTACAAGTTTCATGATTAACAGAATGTGGTTAGGGGTTCCAGAAACTAGGCCTAAGTTATAGACTTCCTTTGTCCAGTTTCAGGTTTTAATTATTCTTTAACCCTTTCACATTTCAGCGGGCTATTACACTAAGTGTCCTTAGTGTCCTTAGTGTCTCCAGTTTAATCCATGGCGTTCTCAAATGGTATTGGATTGGTCACCTCATGGATTGGACTCATCAAATCTTATTAAGCTTGTGAAAAATATAAGTTTCTAGGCTTTGGCCGTAGATTCTGAATCACAGTTGGTCTGAGATGAACTCCGACAATTTGTATTTTTAGTAAGCACCCCAGGATTGCCCCAAAACATTGCAGAGTATTCAGGATATCCTACCCTGGCTTGTACTCCCGGGCCTTGTACTTCGGCAGTGGCCGATTTCACCGGCTCTCAGGTCTGCCCCGAGAGTCTAACTCATGTGTTTTTGTTGTTGTTGTTGTTTTGTTTGGGGGTTTTGTTTTGTTTTTTACATGATCCCTGCCCTCTGGGGAAAAAATAATCAGAGGATCATTTAGAATTATCTCCCTTAAAGGCGATGAGGACACAGCCCATTTATCCATGGTAGGTGGCAGGATGGAGGATTATGTGACATTTCGTCTTTGCTACTCTTGGACTCAGAATATTTAGAATGTGAGGTTCCACTCAGAAACACCTGCCCTCGATGGCACCCCCCGTGGCAGTCTGGAGAACCCCTTCTCGTCCAATACACTTAGTCGCGTCACGTCTTAAGCTATTACTCAGAACATTTCTAGTCTTCGTTTTACACTTAGGACCGTGAGCCAAGCCAAGAAGGCATTTTTGCGTTCCCCCGTCTGCTCCCGACCAGTACTGGAGGGACGTCAGCCTGCAAGTCGAGGGGATGTTATTTAGGGTGGCCTGAGGGGTAATAAGGAGGATTAATGGGATGAAATTGAGCAAAGGAAAATTTAAAGCAACCATCAGGAACATTTTCCGAAGATTGAGATCAATGATCCCACGGAATTCGGATCCCGGGGGAGCTCGTAGGAGTCCTATTACTCGAATCAGTTCAAACCAGACTGGACCGAATATTTGAATATAATCCCACCTTGGCAGAGAGTAAACCTGTGATGGCTGGAAGACGGAAAAAATGACCTAATAGGTCTTTTCCATCCCTGACTTCTATGAGTCATCCAATGTATGCTGTCGTGCGTCACACAGCCGGCCAGACCCGGGTCGTTCGCTATACATTTCAGCCACAAAATCCTCAGATTCTGACGGTGCCGCTACCTCAGCACAGGCTGAGGGCTCCTTGGGGGATTTCTGGTTAGTTTATAATCAATTAAATATCAGCAATGAAGGCAGAAGTCAGTCAGGAGCGGAGGGTGGTGAGTAATTGAGTTCTTTCTCGTGCCCGGTGGGAGGCTCACGCTCGGCCCTGTGCAGACAGAAAGCTTTCCACTGCCTTGTCGTCTGGAACGCCGCCCCTCAGGCCTGGCGGGCCCGCGGGCTGTGCTGGGACCTGCCTCCCGCCGCCGCTGCTCTGGGCCTGCGGTGGCCTCTGCAGCAGCCACGAACCTTCGACCGCCTTCCCGTGAGGCTCTTTCCTCCCAGGTCCCTGCCAAGGGGACCCGGCACACGGGAGCACCGCTCCAGGACTGTCCGCTGACGCAAGTCCCGAGCGTTTTCTTAAACAGTGTCACTGTCTTAGCCGCAGCTTTCTGCTGCAAACACGAGCAGAGGGGACACCTACAACCCACGCGGGCAGAACTTCTGCGCATCCACGGGGAGGGGGCCCAGGACCCACGAGAACTTTCCTTCTCGCCTCCGCCCCGCCTGCAGAGAGAAATGCACAGAGGCTGCAGAGAGAAATGCACAGAGGCCACCACCAGACCCCAGGCCACTTCTCTAGGCCCTTCTAGGTGTTTCGTTGCCATTTCCCAGTCAGTCAAACCTGCAAAGGGGAGGGCGAAGCGAACGCGGCGTCCAGGCCTCGCAGAGCCCGGCGAGCATGGCATCTGCCCTGGGCCCGAGCCACACGACCTTGTCCCTCCCTCTCCCGACGCCCCAGCCTCCCGAGCTGCCGGTGGCTGGACAGCGCCGGGGGGAGGGAGCAGAAGGGAAGGCTGGCGACTGGTGCCGACGCGGGCTCGGGTCTCACGTTAGCTACACCCGACCTTAGCCACCCACTGGCCTCCCTGCCACCGAGGAGCGGCGGGCGGCATCCGCTGTCCTCCGTTGTGCATTTCTCCTCTCTCGCGTGTCGCTTTCTGTGACCTCGAGTCCGCCCTAAACGCGCCTCGTGACGCGGTTTTGCCAGGCGCACGGGAAGCACGGGGGAGGCACAGAGTCCGGCCCGGGACTGCGACACCCACGGCGTCCGCTGGAGCGTGTGTTCGACTCATCTCCTGAGCTGGCCTCCAGGTTGGGGCTTTTCATCTTCTGCCTTTCGGAGCGTCCCTGGCTATTATTCTAAGCCCTTCCAGCTGGTAGGGGGAGAAGGAGACGGATTTGAGCAGAAACTCATCTGATACCACAGCCCGAACGAACTTTAAACCCCTGTACTGTGCACTTGCACCAGACGGTGTGTTTCTGCGTTAACTAGAAATTCTGCCTTTCTGGCCTGAAGCTTCTGCCCTGGGTGGGGGTTCCTTGGTGCAGCCAAGTTGGGGATGTCGTGGGGTCCAGGTTCGTTTCCCACCTCCCTCCTCTGCCATTTCTTCCTTGGTGCCTTTGCTTTCAAACAGGCTGAGGTGGGAGGGGAGGACTTGGAGGACTCGGTCACCTGTCCTCTCGCCGGCTCGCTGGTTGACCTTTTCCTGTATCGTCCCTCCTGTTCATTAACCAGAGTTAAGTGCCGCCCTGACCCAGAACCCAAGGCTCCTGCTCACTTATTTGGGTTCCTTCAGATAGTTCCTGAATCCATGGAAAGCAAGCTTTGGGTTAAGAGCAACTTAAAAAAAAAAAACAGTCAGAAAACCTGGAAGTCACTGAAGTCCTTACCCCACTTTGTTCCAAGTAAAAGGGCCGAGAGAGAACCTTCGAGTCCTTACCCCGCTTCACCCCTTTCCCTGAATGAGACAAAGAAGAAGCCTAAAGGGGCTACGTTGCTGCCCAAAATCCCACTGCATAGGGAATTAGGATGAATTCTGGTCCGACGTGAAGCCCGCCCTCTTTCGTTTATTCTCAATTACAAGTAAATCCTCACTTAACGTCATCGATAGGTTCTTGGAAGCTGCAACTTTAAGCAAAATGTCGTTTAAGGAAAACTGTTACCACAGGCCCATTCATATAAACAAAAATTAAGTCCCCGTGGCCTGGCCACTAAAACATCACTGAACTTCTAAACAAAGACCCCAAACGCTTCTAAAATGAAACACTGCGTCCCACGCATGCATTTCAGAAAGACGAATGAAGACAAGCACGAGAGTTGTTCTCCAGGCCTCTGACTCCTTGTTCCAGGTCTCGGTGGCTGGAGTGTCTCCCAGCAGCTCCGGGCGCCAGGCAGGACCCGCCCTGGACAGGACACCACTCACACCCACCCACTGTCACGCGGACTCACACCCATCCACTGTCACCCACCCACTTGTCAGTGTCGACACGCCCCTGCCCCCAACGTGTGTACATCTTTGGGACAAGGGAGGACACCGGAGTCCCCAGAGAAAACCCGCCCAGACGTGGGGGGACGTGCCAGCTTCACACAGACAGTGGCCTCGGCCGTTTCCACATCAGTGTCAGGGGGGAATGGCGTCGAGTGACGGGACAGGCTGTACTCGGGGAAAAGCGGGGCGCAGGGCTAGGGCGCGAACTTCGAGCAAAACGTGGCAGCATTTAGAGAAAAGGTTTGTGCAGAAATGTCCTTGGAGGGCAATCTTTTACGAGCCAGTCCTCAGAGGGTCTTTTGTGAACGCGTCAGAGACATATGGATTACGAACATTTAAAATCCATATGGGCTGAGGAATGGAGACAGGGGAAAGATCTTGGCGAACGCGTTTGCTTTGTTAATATATGTGCGTGCGTGTGTCTATAGATGTCTATATATTATCAAATTTAAAACGTTTGAAAAGCATTCCCAGGCGTTACAGCTGAAACCACGGGGCGGTTCATCCGTCCGCACTCATAGGCCCCGATCCTTCTGGTGTGTGGTCTTTCCATCCCATGGGTTAGGACCCCCTAAGTCTGTTATACTGCAACCTGAGTTTTGCCTGTTTTATCCATTTTTAAGGTAGGTATAGAGAGCGTAAACCTCACCCTCCCAAACAGGAACCCAACTCCCAGGAGTCAGCATTTAGCCGAATGGCTTCATCGTATTTTAAAGGGGTTGAAGTCTACTTATAAATAAATTGGGCTATCCCGGTGCTTGTGTAATGCACATCATGAAAAATGAACAGTCGGCTTAAAATAGATTTTCCTTTACTGCCAAGTGCGTTATGTGAAAAATGCACCGCATCTGGCAGGTCGTGTGGTCGCGTGGATGGAGCTCAGATAAGGGGGCCGTCCTTGGTTCAGAGGACGCCATGCAGACCCTGATCTCTGTCGGCACGTGTGCCACAATCCACCTAGGAATCCGCGACGGGACGGGCCAGCATTGCTTCCTGACACCCACGAAGTAACCTTCCTTCCGACATGGCAGCCGGCACTCGTGAGCCTGGAGTTGACTTCACCTCTGCCCCACCGTCTCTCTCTGTTTTCCGTGTACCCAGATCGAGAACCTGCGTTGGGTCAGTCTACACCCGGCAGCCTGGCGTCCATCATTTCGTGATGGACCTGGGGGCCTTTACTATGCATTTCTTTGCTCCGGCAAAGCTGAACTTAAAACTAGCTCCTTACGAGTCTTTAATTTCGGCCCTTGTCACTTTGCTCATTCACTCTTGAAGCTGACACATCCTTCCGCTCTTTCCCCATGAATTCATATCCATCATGTCCTTCGAGGTCCACAACAATGTCCGCTTTCTTAAAGATGTCATCAATAACCCTATCCAAATGCAACGATCCTGTCCGTGGAGCAGGGGTTCACTCATATTCTCAAGTTCTTTTCCTCTCTGGCTTTCCTCGTTCCTTCTTATTTAAGACACCTCCTTGTGGGAGGGGCTGGCAACTATATATAAAACAACATAACATGGCTGCTAATCTGAGTCCTTCGGCCAAGTGATCGGACACGTCTTGAAATGTCTTAGTTCTCTTTCTAGGAACACTCTCTAGGACTATCTATCTACCTGTCTTCATTGCTAGTCCCACCAGAACTCTGTTCATTAACTACCTCACCCCGGCTACACTGTTAACCCATAACTGGTCAGAGCTTGGAGAATCCTGAGTATTTTCATTTTAGTAGAGGATCTTTGAAGAAGCCAGAATTACCTGGGGGCCTTTAACTGGAGCCACCTCACCCATACACTATGTCACCCAATTAGGCCCTATTTATGGCCAAAGCCTAGGGCCATTCCCCATTCCTGGCTAAGCACTGTCCAGTCTGCTCTGTGCTTTGCCCTCTTGGGAGTGATATGGTGGTTACAATCTCTGATTCGTGACGCAGAAAGAACTGTCTTTTCATCTTGATTTCAAATTCAGGCTTTGGCACTTACTAGTGTGATTTAACTCTGTCGGAAACTCAGTTTCCTCGCCTGCAAAATGGGGCTAATAATAGTATCCTGTGCTTAGTATGTTCTTAAGAACATTATTTGAAATAGTGCATGTGAAGTATTAGCCCAGAACTTGGTAAAGAATCCATGAATTTTCGTTATTATTATTATTATTATTATTATGAATCCTGTACTCAATATTGTGTTCACCCATCAAATCTGACAAATTGGTAGATTTTTCTTTTGAGATTTGACTCTAGGCTCTCCTCTAGATGTCGATCCTCTTTTATAATGTGGTTTTATATCGCCCTCTGTCCTGATCGAGGTGGCTGTCTTGCCTGGTCTGCCCTCGGCTTCTGCGTCCCCTGCTGTGGTATTATTCTATGTCCACTCAGGAGAGGAAAAGGTCAGGATTCAGGGGACAAAGCTCTAATGAGGGGACAGCAAGAACCTTCCTATGTGATGGGTGATATATTGGGCAGGACGCCTGACTCAGTTTACCTAAAGAATCATCTCTTGGATCGATCTGTAGATCACCGCCCATGGCAGGTTCTGTCTGGCACAGTGCTACGCATACAACAGGCAGTAATTAAAGTTCATGGAGTGAGTGGGGACCAGACTAAAGAAAATGGCGGCGAACGTATTCCCATGGACCTTTATGTTAAAATCGTTACTTGGGAGTTCGTCCTGCATCTGGAATTCTCCTGAACTGGCCACCATCATAAGTAGAGTGTGACCCGTTCTCAACTAACAGTCAGTCAGAGCCAACAAGACTTTTCAATTTCCTCCCATGGATGCCAGAGAGAAGTTGGGGGGAAGGGTGGGCAGGTGGGCCAATCCTGGGGCTTCTAGCTCAGTGCCCAGGGTACGTCAGAGCAGATAAGCTGGTAGGGCCGGGGAAAATTCATAACCAAGAAAGAGACTGAGGTGGAGGGACCATCTCGAGCGTCAACACAAAAGGGCAAGTTCAAGATGACGGCGGGTAGAGGGGGTAAGATGGTAGCACCAAAGGTAAGATGGGGAGAGATAAAATTAGAAAGTGGGCTATAAACAAAGCAAAGACACGGACGCCTCATACTTATTAGGGGCTGATAATGAGATGAAGGCGGTTTGGCCATTTCAAAGTTCAAGGCTGGCCGCAACTTTGAATTAAGAGTCTACTGAAAGCTGTTATTCGAGAGTTGCGAACTCAACGCTGCTGCAGAGAGCTCTCCCTGTTCTTATTCTCCATCTCAGCACCTTAAGCACATGGCCTAAAACAAAGCTCAGCACGCAGATTACACATCACGTACATAGCGTCTTCACATCCGGAAACTGTGAACGTGTTACTTACCTGGCCGAAGGGACCTCGCAGGTGTGATCTGGGATCTTGAGACAAAGGGATGCTTCTGGATCATCCAGATGGGCCCAGTGTAATCTGACGGTCCTTTTAAGTGAAAGAGACAGGATGACGAGTGAGGGAGAGATATGGAGATGCTACATCGCTGGCCTCGAAGACAGAAGAGGGACCACGAGCCAAGGAACGCAGGTGGCCACTAGCAGTTGGAAAAGGCAAGAAGATGAATCCCCTCTCAGCGCCTCCAGGAGGAACCCCTTTGCCAATGCTTTGACCCGTTTTGGCTTCCTGACCTCCAAAACTGTAAGATAATCAGCTGCGTTATTTGAAGCCACTAAATGTATGATAATTTGTTACAGCGTCAGTAGAAAACTAACACGGTTGTGCTGCTACTGTTACCTAAGGACTAGTTTTTTTGTTGTTTTGTTTTGTTTTGTTGTTTTTTTGTTTTGTTTTGTTTTCCAGTTTGGCACTCAGGGTGAAATTTTTCTTTTTAGGTAATGCCGTCACCTATTAAAAAAAAAGAAACTTTATATTTTGTAGTTTTAACTGCTTTTTCTGTAGAAAATATTAATGAAGAGATATAGGCATGTCTTTCCACTCGTTATTCTCTTTAAAAATAATAATTTAAAAAGTCTTTAAAATCCCTAATTATTTTAAACAGCTTTGTCTTTTCCCTGATTATGTCTGGAGGCATAGTTAGATGGCCTCTTTCAACTAGTATTGCATTTTTATCTTAGAGCCAAAAGTCCTTGTGCTTTTGAAAAAAATTTATAAAAACCAATCTTCTGTCCATCGCTCTAAAGGAAAAGTGTTTCTTATGCTACTCAAATGGCAGATATCGTTTTGCCATTTCTCAGGCCATTTTTCTTTTTGATTCTCTCAGTGAGAGAAAAGAAGGCAATGCCTTGGAGAAGAAAATGGTGACTCTGTATCCTTCATTTGTCTTCCCACTATCTCTAAATATTTGTATCTTGGGACACCTTTAATTCTCAAGAAAGACTCTCTCCTTCTTCCCCAATCTATTTTTCTCTACCTGTATTCTCCCATAGACTTCTTCCAAAAGCTTGTCTCATAAATTTATCTTTTTTATCTTGTCTCAAAAATTTATCTTACCATGGCTTAAAATGAAACCAACAAACATATAACCAATTCCTTTCACTAGATCCTGTTTCTGTCTCTAAATAGTCACCTCTTTCTTTTCTCTCTTTACTTCTATACAAGATTTCTGATTCCTTACCTTTTAGTCATGTCTCATTTATGGCAAAATGGATCCTACAGCAACTGCTCCCCTGAAATTATTTTTGTAAAAGTCATAGATGACTTGACTGTTATCCCTCAGAACACGGAAACTTAAAATTTCAAGTCAAAATACAATATGTAGATATCATTGTCAGTGCTGCTGAGGTTGTGATAAGTAGCTATTCTCAAAATTGTACGCGAAATTGATGAGAACATTCATCGAAGATTTTCTAATGGCAAAATTTTAGAAACAAACCAAATTTCCAATAATTGAAGTTACTGATTCAATTATAATTTATTTTATATACCAGGAGACTCTGTAGATAGTTTAAGGATGTTAGAAAAGACTTAAGATCTGGAAATGGAAAAAAATTAAAATGCAGTGACTCACCTTTGTGAAGTAGAAGAGAGAAAATTCCCAATGTTTCAAGTGGTCACGGATGACTTAAAAAACTGTTTGCCTTTCTAAATTTTCCAAATTTCTATGAAAGGTATTGATTTCATAACTAGAAATAACCGGGAAAAATTTATTTGTTTTAAACCACAATAAGCTATAATAACTAAAGAAGCCTGAAATATCATTTCGAGAGGCTGAGATTTTACTAAGTCTATGGAAAAGCTGAGTTCGAGGTAATGTTACTTGAAAACAGCTGGAAGGCAGCTCTTCTGTGAGGTCGCTCAAGATGGGCTCGTGGGCTCTAACCATCTGAAAAGCTCATGGTTGGACTGATCGCCTCTTAGGAAGCTGACAAAAAAAATGTGCCTGATGAGAAGGACACCACATCTGATCAAGGAAAAGAAAGCGTATCTATGGGTTTAATGAGTGACGGAGGACTGACTATGACCCACTCTACACACAGAAGAATGTGTAGAGGTCGGTGGAGGTGTGGTTTTGGACGGATCTTGAACACGTCAGGACTTGTTCCTAGAAGCCCAGCCCACAGGGGGACGGGGAGGGGGCCACTATGCTCTTGGAGGAATCAGACGATATACGTCTGATCTAAGGCTCTGTCCAGAGCAGGAGACAGGAAGAGCCACTGTAAAGAAAGAATCCCCAGAACTCGGGACCTTCTTGAAGAGAAGGATCAAGAAAGAAGCAAAGGTCAAAAATGGCTGAGCCAGAGTCACAAAACTGACAAGATGAAACGTCTGTCAGAAATGCACTCATGAGTGCAAGCTGGTTTTAGACGGAAGACTTGAGTTTGATCCTTCATGTACCATATGAACAGCAAGACAGGTTGAGTGCAGGGTCCAGCAAGTGAGTGAAAATACAGGACAGAAGTTAAGACTGGGCACAGAGTACGTAATTATAAACTTCGTGGAAAACGGTGGGGAAAAAAATTGAGATTGACTGTCTGTGGATGAAGTCATAGTCATATCACTAATGACTGCTACAGGCATAGATCTTTTTATTATACATGAATTGCATTTTACAAATGCTATCAGATTCCTAGGTAGCATGATTCAGAGTCTCTTCTTCTTCTTGGGTGGTTAAAACCACTCACGTTGGCCTTGGACATTTATAACCTGATCTGTGATGGGATATCATATGCTGGAAATTAGCTTCATAGAATAAGGAAGGCTTTCTACTACATAAGAAAGCAAAATACACTAAATCATATCCCCGATCTGCATTGCTGTGAAACTAATTCATTCTGGTGTGGGAGAAATTTCTTTCATCAAAATCTTCAACAAGGCATCCGTTTCGGCTGAAACCGAATGAATGAAACCAAATGGATAATTCAATAATTTTAATCTTAGAAACTGTGTGATTTCACAGAATGACAGAACATGGACGTTTGTGAGCATCTGTACCTACAGAAAGCTTATTGCTGTATTTCAGCTGCTTTAAGTGGCAGGAAACATGGCTTCTAGTACTGGTGTTTTCCACAGCAGATTCTGTGATGGTAGACCTATTATTTATCTTTCTTGTGCCTTATTTTCACCAATTAAATAGAGACTGCAATACCCTATGGTCCTAACTCACAGTACTAGCATAAAATAAGATGCTAAATATGACATTACGATGGAACCAATTTTAAATGTTAGCCAAATCTAATGTTTGCCATACATTAAATTTGCAAAAGACCTGCTTAAAATCATGCTTAAAAGGTGTTAATAAAAAAGACACCGTTGACCTATTTGGTAAAGCTCGTTTAAAAGTAATGTTTTCTTTAAAAAAGTTAACGAGCACTTTCAAAGTTTGTTTTGTTATGCACACATGCACACGCATGTGTGTTTGAGCTCACACACACACACACACACACACACACTGTGACTATATAGATATTGTTTCCTGGCATTGGCTGCCACTTGCTATCACTGCTCAGATGGTTGTAAAATGTGAAAGTAATAATAGAATGATCATAGCCAATCTTAATGAAATCAATAAACAGAAGCTTACGAAGTTACTAGCAGTGATTTACATTCTCTTCAGGGAGTTTGTAATTCAGTAATGTCAGACATTTCAAAGTAGCACCTCCTAGCTCTTTAATTTGCCTTTATATTGAACTGATCAGAGCCCTTTAATTTTATAATGCTATGCAGGATCAATATTTAGAAAGCATCAACTTTACTAACTCTTATAGGTTGAATTAGGTGGCCCCCCAGTTCATGTACTGAAGTCCTGGCCCCCAAGACCTCAGAACGTGACCTCATTTGGAGATTAGGGTCTTTACAGAGGTGACCAATTTACAGGAGGCCAACATGACGGGTGTCATTAAAAAAAAGGGAAAGTTGGAGACAGGCACATATGTGGGGAGGCGCTGTGCAAACATGAAGGTAGAGATTAGGGCGATGATTCTACAAGCCAAGGAACACCAATGGTTGTCAGCAAACCACCAGAAGCTGAGGGAGAGGCAAGGAGCAGACCCTCCCTCCCAGCCCTCAGAAGGAACCAAGCCTGCCAACACTTCGATCTTGAACTTCTAGCCTAACTGAGACAATACTTTTCTGTTGGTTAAGCCCCTCTATTTGTGGTACTTCGTTAAAGGAGCCCTAGCAAACAAACACAAGCAAATTCCCTCCTCCTATTTCCAAACTTGCTGAACAAACTAACAGAAGACTTTGAAGAGCATGTGAATGTTTATTGAGAAAAGTTATGTTGTGTGGGTATTCAAAGCCAGTTACTTAAAAATAAATTCTTTACCGAAGAGATATTATTTGTATTCACAGGCTGGCAGTGAAATTATTTGGAATAGTTTGGTTAGAAAAGATTTCTTCTTCAACGGAATTCCAGCAAAGTAGTTGTGAGTGTGGGCTGTGAGCCAGGATATAGAAATGGCTTCATGATGAAGAACAGAAGCTTACAATGGGATTAAATTAAAGTTACCTCCATCTTTACTTAGCTTTTAAATGTGATAATGCAGTGAAAACATACAGCTCCATGCCTGGAACACAGTAAGTATTCAGTAAATAAATCTAAAATCTGAAACCTTTGATGTTTAGCTAGTCACCCAGTTTGATTTTAAAGGGATAAATGTTTTTAAAAAGCTGTTATATGAACTCTGCTGCAATTAATATTGGCTATCGGTCGAGCTTCTGGACTCTTTCCATCAGAACACTGAACGAAACTTATGAATATTCTCACCCTGTGAAAATGGGCTTTCTGGAGTTACGCGCATTAACATGTTCTGCTAAGGATGCGTTAAGTAAGGATGTTAGACACTCTTTTCCTTGTGTTTCTGGTGCACGTTCTGCATTATGTCTACCGTAGTTCCTAACAGCTCAATGTAATTGTCGTGTGTGTATTTTTTCCCACCAGACTGCGAGCTTCTCAAGGCAACTTGGGTCATTGTTCTTTGTGACTCCAGGGCTCAACATAGTATCTGCTATCTAGAGACAGTACAAATGGTGACCACGTTTATATGTTGAGACAGCTTCTGCAGGATGAAAATTATATCTTATAAAAATTTAGCTGGTTTACTTTTCTGCTGCAAGTTTGTTTCAGAATCAAGTCACATTAGCATTTAAAACTTTAAAACTGCAAGAGTCTCTACATATGGTATCTTATCTGGTTTTTAAAATACCTCCCAAAGATAAGGCGGATATTATTATTCTCATTTGAAAATGACCAACTTGATCCAGAAAAGTAACGTGCCATGGTGATATGAATATTTATCAGCCTCATAAGGCTCAACGTGTGGACTTCCAATTCAACAGCACTCATTCTGCTTCCTACAGCTGTCACACGATGTCATTTACCGTGTGGCAACGGATGCCACTGATGATGTGATTTTCTAATCCAGCCACGGAGACCATTGAAAATGCTGGATCTACCAAAGCTCACCCAAATCGTCTTGGTCGTCTACACAAAGACAGAACTCTCCCAGGATGGACGCGACGAAAGATATTTATGAAGGAAAGACGTTGTAGCAGGCAATACTTCCAGGCACGGTACGCAATGGAATTAGATTAAGTTTACACTGGAATACAGTATCTACCTAATACCCTCAATAGAATTCCCCTTCCCCACAAAACAGACCAGAAATGTCAGAAACAGGACACCTGTCGGTCTGTCTGACTTACGTACCGCAGCGGTATATCCCGCTCGGGGTTCACAGATTGACCTCTAGGAGTTGCTTGTAAACCTGGGTTAGCCTGACAACAAAAATCACTGACCTGGGAGGTAATATTACATACATAATATGTATATAGTACACACATACACCTAGTTAAAAGTACTATATAGACCATATGTTATACTCCTCCTCTTCCTCTCTCTCTCCCTCTCCCTCTCCCTCTCCTCCTTCTTCCGGTCATGGCAGAACTTCTGGTAGTTTGGCTAGGGAGAGCCTGTCTTGCTAAATTCCTAGCTGGAGGCTGCGTGTTTCAAGTGTTGCATGAGAGGGTCCAGCTTCTCTGCCAGGACGCAGTGTGGCCTGGACTGGCTGAATGGAGAGACCCAGGAAGGCCTGGGCCTGGGGTCCAAGCGGGGCGGTCTGTCATGCATACTCGAACATACTCAAAGGTCTATTCTGACAAAAACTGGATTGAGCGGAGTTTTTCCGGCAAGCAGCCCAGAGTACTTGGGGCAAGGTTGTTTCAAAGACGAGAAAGGCGGAACCTTTGTTTCTTTCGGGTAATTTCTCTGGTTCTCTATTTACTCCCATTGTGCAATGGTGGATGGGAAATACCTCCATTCGTATCTGAGATAGAAAACTCTCCACATTTGGTGACGGTCTGTGTCATGTTTCCCTCGAACTCATCAAATGCAGGTATATTTTACCTAACACGTATACCTGGCGCAAAGTTGATACCCTATAACTTTTTTTTTAATAAAGTAACAAAAACATGGATTGAGTCAGCATGACGAAGCGTAGAATGTCTTGAAAATTCAAAAAGGTGGAAGTACTATTCCATCCCGTTTGATCAGGGAGGGGGTGCCGTGTGGGGTTCTGTGTTTTTCAGCCGCTTCTACCCCCCAGGTCAGGGACGTTTGTTGTTGGGCAACCCCGCTGCCTGCAAAGTTGATACCCTATAACTTTTTTTTTTAATAAAGTAACAAAAACACGGATTGAGTCAGCATGACAAAGCGTAGAATGTCTTGAAAATTCAAAAAGGAGGAAGTACTATTCCATCCCGTTTGATTAGGGAGGCGGTGCCATGTGGGGTTCTGTGTTTTTCAGCCACTTCTACCCCCCGGGTCAGGGACGTTTGTTGTTGGGCAACCCCGCTGCCCTCTGCGACGCTCTCAGCTGACACGTGGCCCTTCTAGATTCTAAGGTGATCACTACTGGCAGATGTAAGCGTTCGCCTTGACAGGTAAACTTTGCAGACTAAAGCACTAATTCTGTTTGTGGTAAAACAAAACGAAACAAAACAAAACAGCGCTAGATTACCCTTTCCTGGAGGCTGAGCGAGTCCCCACGTCGCTAGGCTGTGAGAACTACAAGAGGCAGGATTTCCAGCGACGGGTCATCAGCAGTCAGCAGTTTCTTCCTCTTCCAACCTCTGAAAAAGTGCAAAAAGTTACTGACAGCTCAAACGGATTCCAGGAAGACACCCCTCCCAGAGAGACATTCAGCAAAACGAAGATGCGCCCCACCCCACCCCCTTACAGAACACCTTTGAGAAATACGTTTTGTCAAACAGTAACTCAGTTTAAATTATCTGCTAATTTCTAGCCGTTTCACGATCCAACGTTACTGTTCGTACTGGGAATAACTGTTGCCTGACTAATTCAATTCCCTCTCCCCCTCCGAATTTATTCGCCGTGTAGACGCAAATGTGTTGAAACCCGTCTGACTAGGTAACCCAAAGGAAATTCTGAAGAGGTGGAGCCCCCAGGCATCCTCACCCCGACTTCCAGGTGGAATTGTGGGCGGCAGGACTATACCTCGAGTCCTCATTTTTCCGTGCCGTGGGCAGGCCTTACCTTCTGACCCCATTCTCCAACAAAGCAAACCCAACGACTCCAGCTACTCCCCCTTAAACACTTCAGCTGTGGGGGTTCAACACCTACACGAGATCCCAGTAAGCAGGCTCACCTTGGAGAGCTCTCAGAAGCCACTGAGTCTGACTACCGTGAGGGAACGTACAAATGACTTCCAGCTGAAGCAAACCACATCCCCATCCAACTGGCTCAAGCTGGGGGAAGAAGCTTCCTGCTGGCTCCCGGAACGGACCTACGGCCTCTGACCAGGTCTTGGTTACAGCTCAGGGAGTAGTAATTCGAGGATACGCCCTGCTTATTCAACCGCTGGAGAGGGGGGCGGGATACTTAAGCTCCCTAGTGTCTCTTCGACACCAGACAGATGCAATTTTGTCACTATGGAGTCAAGAGAGAGCTGGAACTAACTGCCCATATAACAGGGCTTTATAGCTGCTTTTTGCTCTCTGGTGGGCTGAAATGTTTTCTTGTTCTCTCATGAAGGAGCGTCCTCGATTTGGTTGATATTTTGGTGGGAAAAAAATCACACCGGTCCTCATTTTACGAATTCACTGCCCCTGGTTGAGAAAGCGAAGTGCCCCGCCAAGTACCCACTTCCGCTGCTTTTTGGATCCTGAAGCTAAGCCTGGCAGTTTTGTCGTTCGTAATTTTGCTTACAAGAGACTGGAGAGTCACTATCAACACATTCTTTCTGAGGGCTTCTCTTCGATCCATTTGGGTTTATTAAGGAGTTCGAGGTCAAACTAGCTAAATATTGGGTAGGAATTGATCATAGGATGCAGTTCTTGGATCTGATTATAAATATGACATTCTATCATTCCCAGAAGTGACAGCATATCGTGGGAAAAAGCAGCATATCAGGGTGACTAGAATCGATATACAAGATCCTGAGAAACCCTCCGATATTTAAATTTGTGTTTAGGCAGTATCCTCTTTCCTCTTGCCAGATCTCTTTAGTGAAAAAGCATGTGAAGTAGTCTGATCTGCCAAACTGCATTTTTCTTATCCATCTTACCGTCTCTACCAATACCGTTTGCTCAATACATTCTCGAAAAGACAAGTTAATTTAGAGAGAATAGCAATTCACTCTCTTTGGTGTCAGATTTGCCTTAGTCTTCCCTGATAATAGTGACTCTGTGTTACAGAGCTTACCACTTAACTATGCAGCTTTTATAAATGAAATCTACGATGAATACGCAGAAATATAAGAACCGTAGAATGCTGGAGAATGAATGCAATTTAGAAATCTATTTCAATTCCTTTATTTCACTGGTGCAGAAACTGAGTCCCAGATAAATGAACTGACTAAAACATATCTCTGAGGAAATCAGTAGGGAAGGGCATCAGAATAAGCCACCCCCAAATATGTCTGTCACCTCAGCATATGGATTATTTTGAGCTGAAGTCAATGGAGAATCAACTAATGTATCAAGAAGTCTTCTTGGAACGTCCTTTATCTGACTAAAAGCAGAGACTTCTGAGAAATGAGGACAGCCATAAATCCTCTTTCCAGAGGAGTTTTATGGCCATGAAGAGAATGGAAAGTACAGTGAGATGAGGCTGAGCAAATGGACCTTAATAAAATAACTTATTTTCCATAGGTTTCCCCTTCTATTTACCTTTCCACAATTTACTACCCCTGGAGTCCCCAAAGCTCCCTTCCCTTTGTCTAATCCTTTCTCCACAATTTATTACCCTTTATTAAAATCGTATATTAGCGTCCAAGTTTAACCACTTCTGTGGGGTTTCATTTCTTTTTCGTGAAGTCCCCATGCATGTAAAAATATTGACATCGATAAAGAAACATATAACTTCTGTTAATTTCTCGCGTTAGTTTAATTCACTTTCCCCAACTACAGAATCGGAGAGGGCAGAGGAAACGTTTTTTCCCTCCCTAACGGTGGCAGAGTTAAGATCAAAACTCCCTGGTCTTTCGATACCCTGTTTAGCACTCGAAAGAAAATGAAAAAACCAAAGACATATTCTATTTATGGAACGTTCTTAATACAGTACAAAATTTGTTTATCATGTGGTATAGTTTGTTATATTTCTCTGTTTCTTACGGAGAACATTTAGAGGAATTAAGAGAATGAATTTAATTAAGATTGGGTCTACTTGGAATTATTGAGGGTGCTATTTTCTTTGAACTCACTGGGCAATTTTCATATAATGATCAACTCAGAAAAAAATTCTGGTTTGCCTGTCCCGTCTCCACCCCCACCCCCAACCGACAAGTGTTTATACAAATGAGTATAGGACAGTGTATGAAAGCTCAAGCTTCAGAGTCACGTAGACCCGGGTTAATCCATTGATTTGTTTCATAAAGACTGGTTAGGAGAGCTTTGACAATATTATTTTTAGTGTGTATTCACCCAGCGGACAAATTGCTCGAGGGTCTTGAGATCGCGATCTGATATTAATCTCAGTCCTTTGAAAAGCGGCACTATTTCTGCAGCTTCGTTTAAGTGATGGGAGGAAACTCAAGAGATTGAGTGGAGTGAGCCTCAATCCTTGGTTTTCTGCATTTGTCAATGAAAGCCAGCGTATGCGTTAGAAAAAGCTCTGTGATTTTTCACAACCAGAGCAAGAAGCCGACGGAATTCTTTTGGTAAAGAGCAGCAGAAGTGAACCGACCAGAGGAGGCTGACACTGCTTATTTATGTGTAGAGTTTAACGCTGAAAGTTGCCATTGAAGGCGAAGACCACATCTCGTGTCAAAGCAGTTAAAACCTTAAACATCCCTAATGACTGCTTTTAAGTCATGGCTGTTCCTTGCAACAACAAACCAGAGCTAGATGAAGTGCGGGGCACTCATGTGACAAACGATACCAGTCGTCTGGCTTTCTCATTACGGAGCTTCTGCCAAGTTCGGACTCTCAGCCAAGGATGATTTAACCATTCGGAGTGTCAAACTGACCTTGCACTTGGGGGATGAGGGTGGGGAGAAGCCTAATTGCCTGAGTGTTGTTTTCTTGAATTCTAAAATATTGAGGAGATGAAGCCATAAGTTCGACTACCTTTCTTCACCCCCATCGTTAAAATCTGCACCCCATGTAATTGCACTATGAAAACTGTGGGTGCTGGAGGCCTCTTGAGCTTTCACATATTAAATCAAACAAATTCTCTTTAAAAAGGTTTTAGAGGACAATGGGAGAAAAAAGATAAATGGCTTAGAAACCCAGAGTTGGCAAAATTAAATACGATGGTTGTTTAATTGGAGATGTCTGTGTATGTGTGTCTTTTACTGCCTTGAACAATATCAGGTTGCCATGGTAGGTCTCTGTAACGAGGAATAAAATATTATCTGAAACATGAGTCTGCAATTTTGAATGCATTCAGAAAGGAGGCCCTGAGTCCCTCTAAACATCAGTAAGCACAGATAATTATTTTAAATGCTTCCTGGTTGCTCTATGACACCGGTAGCTGGAATTGTTGCAGAGCTAAAGGAACCAGACTTCACATCATCGTTCACGCAGTTAGAAGTGTTACTTAATCATCGTTGTCGTTAAGTCTCCCTCTTTTATGCTGAATAAAATTGCATGTCATGGGTATGGCTAAAGGGTCCTTTAAATACTCTGGAAGTAGTTTTTTGTTTAGAGTATCTGAATAACTAGTTTTTGGGGGAGAGGAGTAAGCTTTGCTGACTTCCACAAGGCACACAGTGAAGTCATCATTCTCAAAGCACGGAGGGTGGCCTACAGGACAGTTCTCAAGATGGAGTTGGTAATCGGGGCTAAGCGAAGTCCAGAAGAATCACTGACCCAAGCCGTTTTACGTTATACGGCAATTTCTCCATCTACACCTGGCATCTGCTGATAAAGGGCTGTGTACGTGCTTTGGAGGTCGCAGCTTGTGGATTACAAATGAAGGTGGCTCCCTCGCACTTTAAGGGAAGGTGGCTTCCCTTAAAGCCCACTGAAGTCCCAGAGTCCCAGAGTGACACTGGGGACAATTCTATCAGTAATAGTACAGCGTTTTCCCGTGAGCACCTACTATGTGTCAGACACTGTTTTACATGACCTCGAATTTATCATTCACGCAAATCTTATGAGGAAGGTTTTAACCCCATTTACCAATTGGATCTGAAAGAGAATTTAAGTACGTTGCTTAAAATGGCACAACTAATAATCAGAGGAAGTAAGGTTCCAGTTAGGTCCGCCTGCCTACAAGCCCCAGTTTCTATTACAACATGCCATCCCTGCGTGCCAGAATCGATGGCCCTGGAGGTATAGGTTGTTGTTAGTTATTATTTGCATTCACTATATCTCACTTATTCACTTCTGTTGTTATTAGAAATTTAGAATTTAGAAAAGGCTGTAGAATTTAGAGAATTCTATCGAATTAAGAAAAGGCTGCAGAATCTTTCATTTGAGATTGTTTTTTTTTTTAAATAAAAGCTAATTTGGAAGAATGATGGTTTGCATGCAGTCCTGCTTAGAAGCTGCTCTGTGAGCCTGTGAGTCCAAGAACCACCAGCAAACTTGACATTCATTCATGTGTAAGGTGCTTGCTAGGAAAGAGGTTTGCAAACCGATTTCAAAGTAGTCATTACTCTATGCTACATTTACTGGACGAATTAATTGCCCTTAGATTCTCAATGTAGTTTTCAAGTGGCCTTGAGGGGAAAGGTTAAAAGAAATAATTAGCTCTGCCATTTTAAATAATCAGGAGGATTCACTATCTGGATAAGATTTTACAAGTTCTGGATGTGCGTAGCCTCTGAGCATTTCAGGTTGGGCCTTTTGCTTTGTATTCTTAGTCTACATGTCCTGACACTTCTTTGTTTGTTTTGGTGTTGAAAAAGTTTGCAACTCATTGTTTACACTGCTAAGAGTTGTTTCTTTGAATTGTCTTCCCTTAGTGAAGGGTAAAATTATGCCAAGGGCAAAACTGTAAAACAGGTCAATTTTATCCTTGGCACCGTTTAACCTGCCTCGCCCCGGCCCCCATTCCTGGTCTTTTAATTGATTTCTATTACTTGTCCCCAGCAACGTCATATTTCTCCATCTCTTATCCAAGACAAAATATTCAATAAACTCATTCCTAAATGAACAATGTACTTTCAAGCAGTTTTTGTTTTTGTTTTTTTTTTTAAATCTTAAAAGAAAAAAACTGGGGAAAGGATCAATAATTATTTCAAAGGTATAAAGGACTAATTATAGTGGACAAAAGTGTGTGTGTGTGTGTCTGTGTGTGTGTGTGTGTGTGAGTGTGTTGTATATATAAGCTATTGACACTATTTCTTCCTTCTGTGGAACCACATTTCACCCACTCGGTGCCAGGGATGGGTATGTGAACCAGATGGCTGGGTTTCTCAATTACAATGGACTATAAATCACCAATTTTCATCTCATTTTTGTGGGGGATAGGTGTTGGGTTTTGACAGCTCGATTCAAGTTTTTTGGTAGTTGGAACTAACAGAACACTGACTGACACATCAATGGCAGGATTTAGGATATTTTTGAGTGACGCATTTTTGGGTACGCTGTATTACCATGTCCTCTCTCCTGCACTCAGAATATTCTTTTGCTATTACTTTTCAATAATAATGATGTGTTGATAGTGCACCCAGCAGTTACTTGATGGTAGACAGCTGTGATGTTTTCCACCATTTCTTGTTGGTGTCTTCGATATGATTCCACTCAATTCAATTTAGTTCAGTTTAATTAGTCTGGACCAGGTACTCCATGAGGTTCGTTTCTAGAAGCAAAAGCAGTAAGTCATTCACACACCGCTTTGCAGTGCAAGTTCTTCCACTCACCGGGTAAAAAAAAACCATTTTAGAATTGATAAAAATCAATGACTTGCACCTGTTTTGACCTTTGATGCATCTCCGAGGCCTTCAGTAAGTAGAAGATGGGATTGGTGATTACAAGCTGATACTCGACGAATTCGCCGAACAGAAAAAGATCACTTACATTTATGCTTCTGGTCCTGGGTGGTCGTACAACTTTTTCAACATCGTTGCCAACGCGTCAATGAATGAAAGATTATACAAACAGGAGATGAAAGTATAAATCCTCGGGTTCTTGTTTCGGATGTCTATTTATTCTAAGTGATTATGACTGTGTATTTATTTATATGTGTGTATGTAAACTCACACAATTCTTCACAGCAGAATCTATAAATAGCTATAATAACCATCCTAGTTAAATATCACGTGGATTCCAGTGAGAGAAAAAAGATCAAACTGGTGAGTCTGTTAAAACTCTCTCACTGCGTGCTTTCTTTTTAATTTTCTAATGTGACTTTGCTTTTGGCTCCTGGACAGTTGACACAGAATGTGCATCGGCCTTGGCCCTGAGGACCTTCTGCTCTCCTGGTCACTGACTTTCGCGTACCACCTGGAAGCTGGGGTCCTCTTCACACCTCCAGGCTGACTCCTGGCTCACAGTGCAGTGAGGGGCCCTGTGTGGGAGGCTCCGATCAGGAGGGCAGGCCTGCCCAGTGGACGCCGCTCTGTCCGGGCACCGAGTCAGTGTCTGAGCATGTCAGCTGAGGACTTTCACAAACGTGCTTTTATGAGGCTCAGTTTTAGATTGGACCAAACTATACAAAATCAGCTAGATGAAAAATTCAGGCAGTCAACTGGCACTTTTGTCTATAGATCAGCAAATAACCAGTTTGGATGGTTAGAAAGTCATATGGAAAAATAATGAATACATTTTGTATACTGATTCAGAGTAAAATACCAACTTCACTTGTTTTGTCACCAATTTGAATCAAATCTTAATTTTTGTGTGATCCATAATGTAAATGAGATAAATTTTTTGATAAAAATTATTTTAGTAGTAAGAGCCTTGAAGATGTTTATAGCCTTAATAGGATCACTGTTCATTGGATCAAAAGCCGAGTTTCTTAATCAGTTGTATATTAGGTTGTGACTGTCAATGTAAAATTTATTGGTTACTTTGATGATAATGATTTGCATATTTATGAGATAAGAACAGGAATTATCTTATTTAAATACCAATTGTTTTCTCTAAAATGACAAAAATATCACTTAGCTTGTAACCTTCCAACAAGTTATTTCAGCTTTATAAATATATAGATATGTGCATAGAAACCAGTCTTTTCAAACGACTAGATCAAGTTGATTGGTAATCATTCATCGTGATGCTTGAAAAAGCAATTGGCTGTCAAAATGGTATAACCAATAAATCATGGAATTGTGTAAAATGCTATGCTACAGTTCAGTGGGATATAAAGATAAAAACTGTGCAATATGGTTCTTGACATTGAAGAATTTATAATCTACTTGAGAAGGACATGTGGACACACGCATGTATACGCGCAAGATTCTAGATGACAAGCAAATGTCGCAGTCAGAGAAGTTTGGGAGGGGTCATAGCGGGGGTGAAGGTGACCAGGGATTGAGATGAGGCTTAAAGAATGAAACGATTTGTGTGGTTGAGAAGGAAGAAGAAAATGCTACGTGACAAAGAAAAGAACCATTGTAAAATGAGTCCTTATTCCTCTCACAGAGGAATAGTGGAATAATGTCGGAAAAGTAAAGGACAAGTTTTAATAATGTCAGAAAAGTGACTTGATGTCTGATTGAATCCACAGTATTCATAATCTTTTTCTGACTACATACTGATTTAATGTTTCTCATTAACCAAATTAGCAAGCTATTCGATTAAATTAACAAGCCAGTAGATATCTATTTATTATCTATTTATAGATAATAAATCATCCCACACTTAGGGGCTTAAAACAACACCATATATTTATAATCCCTAAGGGGTTCCCTGGGTCAGGAGCTCGGGGAGGGTGGTTCCTGGCCAGGGTCTCTCATGGCCGGCAGATATGGGGCTGGGGCTCAAAAGCAGGGCGAGGGACGCCAAAGAAGCTGGGTGTTGGCCCAGCTCCTCTCTTCAGCATTCTCAGAACCTCTCCACGTGCTCTTCAGGTGAGTCTGGGCTTCCTCCGTCATGGTGGCCTCAGGACACTCAGATTCTAACAAGGCTGGCTGCTGACACAAGAGGGAGAATCCTAACAAATCAAAACCTTCGTCTATGACCTCATCCTGAAAGTCACACAGTATCGTTATCACCATATAGTCACATTGCATCCAGTCTCAAGGGGAAGAAGCACAGACCCCATCTGTCACCATCAGAGTCCTGTTCTAAGCAGAGGACATGGAACAGAAGCTGTCGTTCTGACTGTTTTGGAAAATACAATTAGCCGCAATAAGTCATTCTGGGCATTTTGTTTGATTGAATGCTGTTCTTAGAGGAGTAGAAATTAGTAGAAAAATTAGTAGAAATTAGTAGAAAAATCTTGAACAAGTGATGCTTCTGTTTATTGGCGGAAATGTGTCGATAATACGCACTCCAAAGAGTAATGCCCCTCCAGGGCATCCATTTAGACACTGGTACGATCCCGTGTAACCAGTGGCTCGAACGCCCCATCTCTCATCTTCAGTTTGTTCTTTCTGGTCTGGAAAAACAAAGCAACGTTGGAAGACTGGCCCCATTAATAACCGAAAGAAAAGGCCATCTTCAGAACACCTCGCAGGGTTTTAATATTTTCTTTTCTTACCTAGCCTTCATTTGAATCAAAGCTCAACCTGGCCATTTTGCAGGTGTTTTCTTTAGGCTGCAGTTAATTGCCAGAGAGGTGTCTCTTGCTCATGAGATTGAGCAACGTGAATGGTAACCCACATTCTTGAGGCTTGGGCTCTGGTATTTTAAAACATAGCTAAGGGTTAAATAGACTTTTGAAACAGAACAGCCTCTTTACGATTGTTGTTGTTATTGCTATTATTTTAAACATGAAGCTTCACGTTCCAAAAATGTATATTTCCTTTCCTGAGAAAGGGCATCCTCCTCGGGATTCTCAAACCTGAGCCAGAAAAGGCTATAGACTGAATCGCACCCTCTCATCCAAATGTGAATTAGCGTTTCTCGTCTTTCTCTGTGACATCTTTATATTATATATAAAACATATGTATAATAAGTTTATAACAAAATGATTTTATAATAATATATATACATTTTAAGAGAAATATTCTCTGATCGCTGCCTTGGCTTTCTTTGCCTTGTTTTCCATCCTTTCCTGTATAAAACATCATCAGGAAAACAGCTACGACTGCACGTCGTTAACTAGCACGCAACCCCATTTTATAAGGCACTCTGGACCCAACCAGATTACTTCCCTAAATGCTTCTCAACTGTCTAAAATTGCCATAAAATGAAACTCGTGTTTGTACACCTTCAGAGAGTGCCTTCACTCTGTCTCCTGCTACATGAGGGACCACTGGTGGGGACAGTCCCCATAATATAAACTGTCATTTACACGAGGGAAGCCAAAGAGACGTCACATAAGGTCCATGGCATTGACCTCTGCCTGTTGCGAGTCTCCCCTGTGTGGTATTAATAGCCAGAATCGAGACGACATCCCTGGAGTTACGATCAGGAACAAGAGCTACTTGGTTTGACATCAGGAAGAGGAGACTTGGAAAACTCAGTTTTCTAAGAGTTTGCTTTGTTAACTGTTTGCATTTACAATCATCAGGTTAGACTAGAATGTGACCAGCTTGAATATTTAACTAGTAATCCTGTTAAGTATTTCTCCTTATGTCTGGATGCTACTAGGGCTACAACTGGAAAATAGTAAAACAACTAGAAATTTTGGTTAATTCAAAAAAAGTTTACGGTACGATACCGTCATTTCTGGATATTTTAAAAAAGCACCAAAGTTCTTGAGAATTTCTCGTCCGTTTCCATTTTCTGATTCCAGGCATGCATCTTCTGAGTTTTTGTTGGTATCCTCTATGGAGATTAAAGAAAAAGTTGTAAATGAACCTCAACCTAAACTTTACACCTTACATAAAAATCAACTCAAAATGGGACTTCAGTGTAAAATATAAATGAGACATTTTTTAGGAAAAAAGAAAGAAAATCTTTAGGACCCAGGGCTAGGTGAAGAGTTTTTAGATTGGACACCAAAAGCACAGTCTATAAAAAGAAAAATTAATATATTTGACCTCATCGAAACTAAAAACTTTTGCTCTGGGAAAGACTGTATGAGGAGGATAAAAATATCAAGCTACAGATTGGGAGAAAACCTTTGCAGACCACAAAACCAGTGAAGACCGTATATCTAGAGTATGTAAAAAACTCTGAAAAGTCAACAGTAATAACACACAATCCAGTCAGAGAATGAGCAAAAGCCATGAACAGGCATTTCACAAGAAGGACATACAGATGGTAAAAAAGCACAAGAAAACATGTTAAAGATCATCAGCCGGTAAGGAAAAGCAAATGAAAACCACGCGCTATCACGACACGCCCATTGGTGGTTAAAATAAAAATTAGTGACAACGCCAAACGTTGGCAAGAATGCAGAGGAGATTGCTCACACGTTGCTGGTGGGAATGACGGACCGCGAAGCAGCCACTCTGAAAAACTGTTTGGCAGTTTCTTTAAAAACTCGACGTGACCTTACCATGTAATTCAGCGATGGTAGCCTCGGGCATTTACCCAGAGAAGTGAAAACTTGTGTTCACACAAAAACCTGTAGCCCCAAACTGGAAACAACCCAAACGGCCTTCAACAGGTGAATGGTTAAACAAGCGATGACACATCCAGACCGGGCACGCCATGGAGCAATAAAACTGTTCGTACAGGCCCAAACTGGGCTCCATCTTAATGGAAATATACTAAATTAAAAAAAAAAAAAAAAGAAACCTCAAAATGCTACCCCATATGACCCTCTTCACACAACATTCTGAAAATAACAAACCCCAAAGAGATGGAGAAGAGATTAATGGTTGACAGAGGTTAGGGAAGGGGAGGAGAGTGGGGGTAGCTTCAAAGGGTTAACACAGGGGATCTTGGGAGACTGAGCAGTTCTGTATCTTGACTTGCATGAAGCTATATATGCATGAAAATTGCATTGACTAAGTTGATCGAAATGTGCTTAGATGTATACGTTCACACACATGCGCAGATGAATCTATGAGTGTCCACGAAACCTGTGAACTTTAAATAAGCTCCCAAGATTGTGTCACGGTCATCTTCCTGGTTGTGATATTATACTACAGTCTTGCAAGACTGTACGGGGAGCTCACAGGCACCCTTCACCTAGTTTTCCTCGGGGAAAGTCTTTCCTGTGGGAAAGACTCTGTGAGGAGGATAAAAAGATCAAACTCTAGACCGGGAGAAATGTGCTTATAGACTGGGTTTTCCATAGCTTGATCTTTTTATCCTCTTCACAGAGTCTTTCCCACAGGAAAGACTTTCACCGAGGAAAACTAGCTGAAGGCTGCCTGTGAGCTCCCCGTACAATTTTCCTGCAGCTCTCTGCGAATATATAATTATTTCAAAATGCAAAATGAAAAAAGTCCTGTGCTGGACTCAATTTAACATCTAATCCTGTATCGTTAAGAAGGAGGGATTTATTTCTGCTAAAACAAAGAATAAAAGTGATTAGCATGAAAACACTCTCTCTCTCTCTCTCTCTCTCTCTCTCTCTCTCTCTCTCTCTCCATCTCTCTCTCTCTCGCAGATATATAAATGAAGCTAGGAACACGGATAGGACAGTAGTTGAAATTATCGGTAATTCATTTAGAAATTCATGTATGGTACGTATGTTTGATAAGTATTACTTTTGCTTACTTATTTTTCATGTATATAATTATATGAGAATGAGAAAAGCAGAGGTAAATGCTGTAAAACTGCAGAGCCTGACAGCTGGGGCTCAAATTCTTATTGGCTTGGTTGTTATAGTAACATAGCAGTTTCTCCTAGATCTAAGCCCAGAAAAAACAGTAAGAACAATTAAACATATGCAAATAGTAATAAATGTATTTGTTCCCCAATTAAATTCAATCATACTTCCAAATTTCCCATTTTGTATTAACCTCATTGGAATTCACTTTGGCCTCACGTCAGATGTTTTTTGGAAAAATAAAAGCAGTTTTGGGATGTCTACTTTTACTCTTTCATCCAAATAATGAGAAAAATTTGAAACCTATCTATGTCCTTTCAGTAATGGTAGTAAATATGAACTATGTATCCATATATATAAAATTCTGGATGGTTTCAAAGACAGGTCATGCCTTAAGAGCCTTTAAAAAAAGTGTATAAGCTGTGTCATTATTTTTTTTATAAATCACTATTCATCACAGCAATATGGGACTTCTTTAAAAATAGTGGAACACCCACATAAAGGGTGTGAAACTAGATACGTGATACCTCAGTATATTACATTAGGGGATCTCTAGGAAATATTGGTAAGTGAAATATGCAGAACAGAGGGAAGTATGTAAACCACCTGCCATTTAGCTAAATGGGGCATATAAAAGTATATATACATCTTTTCTCAT